TAAATTTGGCATTTTTTAAAAAATATGAGAGACAAAGAATGAGACTGAGACTCCACTCCAGTTTATATCTTTTCTTAATCTTGCTATTTACAAAAATCAGCCTTGAAAATCTTAAATACTCATCAAATTATCTGTACTGACATGGAAACTATTTGGAAGGCAAATAGTGGTTCAGAAATGACTTGCAGTTACTGTACAGTTCAATGGTGAATCCTGAGCAATCCAAGATGAAAAACCTTGTTTTTGATTATTTAATCCAAATCAGAATGTAGAACTAATGATTAAAAAGGAGAAAGTGATTACTGTATCGATGATCTGCCAAATAGTGGAACTCTGAAGATGGAGAATGTGAAGCAGCAGCACAAATTGTAGGAAGCTCTAAGCCAAGGCTGGGAAACTTTTGGCTCTCCAGTTTTGGCCTACAACTCCCACACCATTGGCTATGCTCTGCAGTTGATGTGAGTTGTAGCCAAATCATATGGAGGACCCTGCCTTGTCTATTGCTGCCCTAAAGTCCAAGGTATAATTAAATCTGGTTTAAACTGTTGCAATTTGAAAGGCAAACTACTGTCAGTAACCAGATGAACTGCTGCAACAGTTGCCTCAGGCACAAAACTTTAATTCAGGAGAGATTTAACAATGTATTGAATTGTTTTATTTTCCATGGAGCATTTTATACATGCCTTTGATGCTACTACTATTCAGATATCAGGAAACTGGGGTATTTCTAACGTTACCCTGGATGCCATTTCCAAAAGCAATTTTTTGTTAACACTGCCAATTATCACTTCCCAATTAAGACTGGGGGCGTTCGGCATGTGCACACAGAAATGTTTGCATAAGGCAATCCTAGGAAGAGGGCAGAGATATATTCCTGTGTACGGAGGAGTCAGATTCCTGGGGTATGGAGAAAAAGCTTGGGCACTTTTTTCCATTTTTGAAGATGGCTTCTGGCTCCCCAAAGATTTGCAAGGACAAGGACTTTGGGAGAGCGGCTGCAGCAAACCAAAAAGCCTGGAGGCTGCTTTTCTTCTCTTGCCAACACAGAGGGGGTTTTGATCAGGAAAAGAGTCGCTTCAGGAGTGTCCCTCTGCAGTTTAAAGGATTATGAGGAAGGAAGCTGGTCTTGGAGAACACCCGCCCAATTTTTTCCTCAGAGACCAGCTGTGGCTCAGTGGACTGTAGTATTTGTCCCCAGTCCCAGCTCAAGTCAAGTCAAGAGACTCCTCTATAGGAAAACAGAAGAATTCTTCATCTGGACCACTTCTGAGATTAGGAACTGTGCATAAGCAAGACGTTCATTCAAACGCGATCTAAGTGCTCTGCCACTGCATTGTTTTCAATGGGATGCCTATTCAGAGGTGCATTCGGATATGATTTACACCCATTCCGCATCCAGCAAGTGATGTGGAGGCTGCTTCCACACACGGTCTGCATAGCTGAATCTGGGAAAGGAAGCACTGGGCAGCATAAAGGATGATTCTCCCCTCTTTTGGCCCCCACCTCTTCCTCTGCTCCATGAATTTTAGATGGTGCACAAACAACAACAACAACACTTCACACAAACCTTGAACGGTTTGGGTTGTGCTCAAACCCACACTTAAATCACACATCTGTACATATTTTCATTCACAGACAGTCAAGAGAGCAGGATAATGACTACTCTTGAAAAGGTTTCGAAGACATTAGCACACTCCCTTCAGTTTTCATCCCTTTACAAACAAGAGAGAAAATTTTGCTCAGACGTCTTGCACAGTTCCTATGGAAATGGATGGGACTGTGAAAGAGCAGTTTCACCACCTAGGAATGGTAAACATTGTAATTTACTAGTACTGCACAGAATTATTTTCTATCTGTTCATTACAAATAGTTTTTGAAAACATGTATACTGGCTAATGTGGTCTATGCAGCAGTTTAAGCAATTATGAAAACAATATCTTAGTATCTCGTCTTAATATCTCTCTTTTGTATCATGCATATTCACTCAAAGATATATACAGGGGAAAAAAACCATTCAGAGATCAGTTACCTATATAACCACCCCCATCTTTTGAAAATGTTAAATTGTTCAATACAATTCTGAAACTACCTATTTTACAAAGAAATTGATGGACAAACCCTTCCTTTTTAATCCTGAAGCCAGCCGCATGGTAGCCAGAAAGAGAAAGCTATTCCAACTGCCTCCAAAGCTGCTTAAAGACAGAGAGAGACACACACTTAGTGCTAAAGTAAACCATCCACCATTGTGCTAAGCTCTGAGCATGGATAAAGTAAATAGCCTCATTTAAATAAACAAAGATATTGGCAACAAGACCTGTATGCTTTTAATAAAGATCATTTATATATCACAGAAAAACAGAAGATAATTTGTGGGACAAGTCTAGGGCGTGTTATTCGTGGCTTCTGCATCCTCTTCTCCTCACATCTGCAGCACCTCATGAACCTACTGGATCTGCTGCAGAGGGTCAGAGGGCCACCCAGGGCAGATCCAAGGTGCATGAAGGTGGTTGCAGGAGACAGAAGAAGCGGCCTCAGTTCTGTCGGTGGCATCCTTCCACTGATAGCATGACAGTTCTGGATCCTACCGCAAGACTGAAGAACTGTCCTTTCCTTTCTGATTTGGAAAAAGCCATACATGAAAAGAGAATGAGTGAAGGAGTCAATTTCAAAGTTTTGATTCTAGTCACTAGAACCAAAAAGTCAAGTGGGTAATGATGAGCTTAGGATTTGGGCTGAAACAGGATGGCAGACCTGGTGTGCTTGTGCATTTTCATTGTCCCCGCATCTCTGGGAAGCACCTTCTTGTGAGGTATAACTTAGAGATTACACCATGGCTCTAGAGGACCTGGAATGATGTGAGGCTGGACACTCATGATATTGTATCATTCTTTGGCAGTCAGCCTAGACATGAGATCTTCTGAACTAAGCATTTTGGGTCAAAAATAATTCATAAGTTTGAAGGATGTAAACTTTATTTTCCTTATTTCAGTGCACAAAAAATAGTCACTGTCATTTCACTAAAAGTGCCAAACTTCAAACAAATTTCCAAAACCAAGTTGTAATTCAAATGATCAAGCATACAGAAATAATGTATGCAACCATCAGTTATGAACAAAGTTTACCTGTTATAAATTCAAGGCAATAAAATATTATACTGATCATGTTAAACACCACAGATAACACGAATGCTTGAGTCTGCATTTCTGTTGCAACACTTGTGCAATTTTTACAGTGAAGATACATTTACCAACATTTTGCCAGATGAAAGTAGTCACAGTGATTTACAATAAACAGTTGCACCATCCTGCCTCATACAATCATGTACCAAGAAATTATAATCCCAAGCCAGTCTGGGGGAGGTTGTGTACAAAAGAGTCAGAGTCAGCCGCAAGAGTCAGTCTTTGGTCTATCTAGTTAGATGTGTAGAACTGGGCCACACTACTGAAAATTAGGGCTACAGAATTCAAATGACCAGATGCTTTCAATCAATAACACAGGCACTTCTGGTCAACAGCTGATCCACTGGAAATTCACCAAGCCACAAAGACCATTCAGTGCTGAAGCAATACTTTTGCTGTGCAGGGAAATATGGATTGGTATTTTCTTGGCATAATTTCATATGCTTGAAAAATGTGATAACCTGTGTTGATCTGGCTCTGCCAGATCCAAGGAAACTTCGGAACCCTGTGGGTCCTCAAGCTGCCTCCGTGGGCCAACCTGGACATCAGCCCAGACGCTGGGGAATGCAGCAAAGCAGCTTGTGGGTCAAAGTGACCTCTTTTGCTTATGTAAAGAACAATTGTCAGTGTGTGACTGTGATGGTTGTTCATAACAAGAGTATTTTGGTAAGAGGCTGAAGAGTATGGATGATGACATGCTCAGAGAAGATGGAATGTACTTCGAAAGCAACAGAAAAAAAATGAAGCAATTGAAAAAGCACTGGTGACTCTTCTTCCTAGAAAGCTTTGGGAACATGTCTCCCTTTGGCCTCAGTTATGACCAATATAAACAGAATCTATATATGTCTATGAGGAAAGCTTTCCTTATTCCTTTCAGTTCTGTTCTGGATCTATCCCTATGGACTCAAAACTAAAATACCCTACAGTGTGGAATAGCTATGCTTTAAACCTCAGAGAGAGCAGTGTAGGGTTTGACAATATAGTGCATAGTATTATTCTAAGATGCTGTGGTTTTATTCAAATCGCTATTATTTTTTCTTATTCACAGTGCACAGGCTTGATTATCACTCTTCTAGCCACACTGTCATATGTAACAACAAAAATATTATGGTTTATTTCATTGCTATGCCACCCAGTAGCTGAAGCTCTCTTTTTGGCTAAAAACTGTCACTTCCCATCTTGTTTCCCATTGCCGTACCCACTGAATCAAGAAAAGCAGACAAGGAAGATGGGGAGAGAATTGCAAGAATGTCACCTCAACAGAAACAGGAGGCCTTCCCTGAGAATCAAGTACTGTGAGTTTTCATGCACAAGCAGTGGAACCTGTGCACCAGGAGGATGGAGGGTGCTCAGACCTCTCTGTTCACTTTCAAGAAAGGGGTGTAGCATGAACCCCCAACCACCCAGTTCCCTGCCCACCATGCTCAGCACATGTGGGAACAAGCTCTCATACACAGGTTTGTAAAGCTTCCCCACCGCTTGCCCACAAAAGCAGAGTTCACGATTATCACCTGTGCAAAGGATGTGTGTGCACGAGAGCCTCTTCTCACGTTCCTAAAGGCAGGGAAAGCATGGCCAGTGGGCACATCATCAATGGAAACTGGGGTGCATTTGTAGGACCCCACAACTCCCTGAAACATGTATTAAACATTGAAGGGGTCCACCTGCAACCCTTAAATGAGTTGGCAGACATCTCTTTGTATCCCCTGGAGACCTCCTATTGCAGATGTAAAGCATTCCAGATATGCTGAATTCAGATCATGCCCTTCATATTTCAAGTTTATTTTTACTATACAATTTAAATTAAAAATCTCTCCTTACCTCCATCTTCTAGGAAGTACTGTACAGCCATCAGTACTTTCCCCTGAGGCTGTAAATCAAGCTAGGAAGAAAGAGATAATAATTACACACTAGTTTATGCTAAAATTCCACAATAATCTATTTTCACATGGAATGAAACATGTCACAAAAGTCTAGCTAGAGATTCAAGTGAAAGAAAAATGCCATTTTTTTGATATTTTGGGTTTCTTAATTATCAGGGATTAACTTCATGTTTCATATATACTGAAAGGAAATGTGTAAACCAGCCTTCCCTAACCTGACTACAACTCCCAGCATCCCCAGCCAACACAGTGATTGCCTATTCTAGCCGGAAATGATGGGAGCTGTTGCCCAGGACACTTAGAGGCTGCCAGGCTAGGATGGACTGGAGAAATCCTACACCTTTTGCATTAACCCCAGTACCTTTCATTTTCATTCTTTACCACCAGGACCCTCTGCAAATGAACAGAAAATGATTTCAACTGCCCTTAAAATAGGTATGACAAACTGAGGAGGACACGCACAGCTGAGAAAATCGCCCTTAAGTCAGACAAGCAGACACTGGCCCGCTAGCATGGTCAACCCCATCTTCTACGCAAGCGACCATATTGTAGGGCCTGAAGTCTGAAGGGCTTCTCTTGCCTGATATTACTCTGAGCATTTTTCTCAGCCAGCCAGTGACACAGAGCAAGACAGTGGAAATGGGCATGGTGATGAAGAAGCATGCAGCACATTATGGAAGGAGAGGGAAGAGCAGGACAAGTAAGTGGCACTTTCAGGAGCATCCCTCTTTTTAAAATAATAATCCCCTCAATGTGGAGGAAACAAAGATCTGTCTACTTGCACATTCAAATACTCAGAATACCAACTAAAAGGCAGATTAAAGAACAGCTGCATACTGAGATCTGAAGACAACTATTATATATTTTGTTGAAATGTATGCAGACTCAAGGAAAAAACCCAGCAGCTTTGTCAAATTTGCTGCACTGCCTTTTGTAGGTACACACACCATGAAAACACAACCGTTTGGGGCCTGTGGGCACAGTTGAGCATTTGATAAACTGCTGTGTCCACTATTGCAAAATGGCTGCAAGGGGGGATGTGACTAATCACATGATGGCTGGCACGTCTAAGGATGAGTTATTCACTCAAGGAAGAGAGAAGAAGCAGACGAAATGCCTGTGTTAAAAATCAGACCACATATTAGATCCCAAAGCACCCATTTAAAGTTGCAATTCGATGCTTGCATACGTGGGACTCAGTGTAATTTTTTCTAACCGGGCTACACAGGCTTGCTCTGGTTATCTTATGTGCACCTTTCCCCAGCCTTTAAAGAAAAGGTCACCAGCTCCAGGTTTTCTCATTTGCTCCTTCACAAGTCATTTCTACTTCCTTCTCTGCCATCAGAACCTCTAACCTGGGAAAGTGCTGTATGCCCAGGTGAATGTGTACAGAGGGGGAGGAGGGACTGGACAGAAAAAGAGCAAGGCTGAGAGGAGGAAGAAACAGTGAGAAAGCGCACATCCAGCGACTGGATAGGAGGGGAAAGTACCAAGTAAGAGAGCTTTGCTGGAAGCCATGACATAGGAGAGACAGTGAGGCGAGGGGCTGGTGGGGAGAAAAGACCAGAGGCTGGAGGGAGAAGTGGCAATGCAAGGGATGGAGTGGAAAGCAAGAGCAAGGCAAGAGAGGAAACAGCAGGACAAGGCGGTGGCAGGGAGAAGGACCAAGCCTAGAGACTGGGGGTGCATTAAGGGTCTAGGCAGGAGAACAAGCAAGGCCAGGAAGGAAGAGAAAGAAGGTGTCCAGCTGTGGGAACGGGCTAGAGTGCGGTGCAAAGCAGCTGGAGGGTGGGAGGAGAGAGCAAAGGGAAATGGTCAATACAGGAGAAGATTTAGCAGCACCTAGAGGCAACGTTTTTTCTTTCTACCTACTGTACAGCTGACCAGCAGCAAGGTCAGGAAGAGGAAGGAAAAACCTGGCCTCCTTTTCAAGATTTGTAAAATTAAGAATGCAATTTAAACACCAAATCAACCCCCCTTTTTGCTTTGGTGCCCAATGCCAAGCAACATATATACCAGGTGGTCACCTTCACGGAGGTAATTCTTCAAAGAATATCCCAAATCTATTCAGCTTTGAAGATAAAACTTCCATGGATGGAGAGGGTAGATTCAGATAGAAGCAGGCAGTCATTTAGATATGTGTGTTCTACAGGCACAGGGAAAATTTAGAATAAAATGATCACATGCCCTCATACTCACCCAGAATTCTGCTTTCCCATTGCCCTTCTTACATCTTTCAGCCAAAACAGACACACCCACGGTCACCTCAGACAGTGGCTCCTCTGCGGCCTTCATGAGGACAATCTGTATCACACGCCCCTCATAGATGTGGGCATCAAAGGAAGATTTCCAGTCTGGATACATAGTGGGTTTTTTCTGAATCAAAGTTTTGCCTCTCTCTAGAAACGCCACAAAAAGTACAGGTGAAAAGTTACAACACAAAGCACTAAATTTTGTCACAGGCAGAAGCATCACAACCAGCAAGTAATCTTTGTTGTATTAAATCAAAACCAGCAAATGATCTCTAAAAACGCTCTTGACACTTGACAGCAATTGCAACAAGGGTAAATGCATTCTTAAAAGGCAAAGCTGTAATCATGGCGAAGGCGGCCAATCCCGTGTCTGGAAAAAGTGCAGGCCCAATGCAGGTTACAGCTGCATCTCCAGATAACCCTGAGCAATCAGCCTCTTAATATCCAGTGGTACTTCCAATCTGGGGTTTAAGTTCGGAGTTAAGAATATGTTGCTCCAGCAACTGTTTGGTTTAATGCATGCCTCTTCATGTGATGAATTGCCCAAACAGTGGTAAAAAATAAACTTAGTTTGTCTTTATTAGGTAAGCCCTGCCAAAACCAACAGTATAAATCAGGTATTTGACAAGATGCTTGATGCTAGTTTGCCAAATGAGTTCCTCAAATGTTCATAAATCGCCACCTGAGAATATTCTGCATTCTGAAGTCCTTCTGCTTTATTTCCCCACTTGTATCAAAAAGCTTTTTCCTGGTTTTGGAAATTCTTACTTGTAACAGCTGTTCAGAGGAGCCATTTCCATTAATGAAAAGTTAATTCCAGACTTGCCTGCTCTGTGGTTTATTTGGAAATGCTTCAGAGTCACTTATAACCCATTACAGCTGGATTGGTACCTTGTGAATTTCCAGGTAAAGATGAATGCCTCACTAATATTTCATCCAATTTAAATTGCACTTGAACAGTTTAAAGAAACCTTGTCCATATTTTCAGGTGATTCAGCACATGTGTTTTTGCTTGACTGTGCAATTCTAAAAGAGGGATGGGAACCTGTCTGGGACCTCCTGATGTTCTTCCATCACATCTTCCACCACTGCAGCCAGCATGGCTGGGGTAATAGGATCTGGATTCTGCCATCATCTGGAGGACCACAGACTTCCCATCTCTGCTCTGAAAACAACAACTCCAGCTGAAGTAACAAGCCTGGCCATACAATTTGTTCTGTTTTACCTTTGGTCAGTTTTTGTTCTTGTTTTGTTTTTTGACATGAAGAGTAAGCACATTTGAGTGGAACTGTCTGAGCTGCACATGCACCCAATTTAACCAAGATTTATTTGCAGCTCAGATCTGCAAGAAAACACTACCACAGATTTCATCTGTCCAGAAACCTGGTCACCCGATTGCATTCTTCCTTCTACAGTTTTCTTTCTCCAGCAGCAGCAGTCTGCCAGCCCTCCATACCCACAGAGCATGCTCCGTTCTCACTGAACCGTTTTCCTTCCCTTTTGGGTTTTTCCCCATTGTGACTTCGTATGAGTCACCAACTCTCAGTGTTACCCCACAGAGCTGTTATAAGGAAAAAATGGGGAGGAGGAAACTCAATGTATGCTGCTCTTGTAGGAGAAGGCAGAATACAAATGTAATAAACAAATAAACAGATAGATAAATAAATAAATGTAATCTTTTTACCTGTTGTCATGGCCTCTTTCATTTTTATTGCACAGAAAGGCTGTGAAAGTTCTTGGTTCTGCATTGGTCCTAACTCAAAAGAGTTGAACGATATTCGTAAGAAGGGAGCCATAGCTCAGATCACAGTTATGAACCTGTACAGGAAGTAAAGCAAGAACAAGTAAATCTAAGGCTCAAAATTGGGCTGTGCGATGAAAATAAAAAAAAAAGAAAGTTCTATTCCAACCTAAAGCCTGGTATATTTTGAGATACGTTTGCTTAATGGGGCATCCCAGTAGCAGAAAGCTTACTCAAATCCTCTTTTTGGTGTTACTGTAAAAAAATCCTAAATCAGAGTGAAATTGAATCCAGAGCTTCTGAATCTTACAGAGCATTTTTAATTGCAAAAATATGAAATGGGGAAGGACAACTGGTGGTCTTCCAGATGTGACTGGACTGCAACTGCTATCAGCCCTCAACACTGGCTATACTGGCTACGGCAATGAGAGCTGCAGTCCAGCAACAATTGTAGGGGCAGAAGTTGTCCACCTCATGTAAAAAGTTTTTTATTTTCATAAATGCATATAAGGGAGATGCCCTACTTAGCCTGCCTGAAGGGAACAAAGCAGAGTGCCAGCTTTTGAGTTTTCCGGCATTCTTCATCATGAAGATGGTAAGAAAAGGGAGGGGTGGGGGCAAGGGTCAAGGAACCCATGCGATGAACAAACAACAGCTGATGGAAGAATTTTGAAAAGATAAAATCCAGCAGCCTTTATAAAAAATAAAATATAAGAATGGAGACAGTTCTAACACTAGAATTTCTATTTTCAAGAATGGGAGCATGATTGTGTCTTCGTCCCAGCTGTCCTAGCTGCAGCCTACAAACCTCATCTTAGAGACCATTTTAATGACCGAAACCTCCTTGCACATTCCATCAGCATAAGTCTTCTTTTCCCTCCACTCTTCTTGTTTTGTTCAACATTTTGTTGAAGAAGAGTTCTGGAGAACTCAAAATTTGCAAATAATTTTGTGACCCAAGCTGGTCAACTAAATACATTGCCCCAATACGGATTTTAGCATTTTTCTTAAACCATCACAATTGCCTTTACTTTTTGTGTACATGAACAGAATTGGTATTACAGGGCTTTTTGGTAATAAGTTTTTCTACAGCTTTAAGAATGAAAATCTGTGCTTTGGAGTCTCATTTAGTTAGAACAAAAAGAACTTGTTAATCTTATTAAAAACTGTAAGCCGCATTCCAAACAGAAGTCTACTAAACAGATAATCCCAGAAGACCTAATTGATATCTGCCAAAAACCAAGCATTTGCCACACTGCAGGCAAATAAATACTTTCAAGGCTGCTATGCATGTAAAACACAATCCTATGTGTGTTCATACAGGAAAAGTCCTGTAGCTACCAGCATTCCTCTGCTAGCATGGCTGTTGGGGAATCCTGGGAATTATAGGTCTTTCTTCTGTCTAAACATACTCAGGATTGTGCCCTTAACTAGTGTAAATATTACCATTTTTGACCTGGAAGCACTCCCATGGATATAGCTCCTGCAAAATTCCCCAAGGGACTATTTTGCTGTGTTGAATTTCTGCTATGAAACTGTTGAGGGCACAGACCCTATTACAAAAAGGTGCCAACATTTGATCTAGAATATCTGTACTTATATCTTGGTAGTTTCATCATTCCCTGGACAATATATTTGTTAATATTTGTTACAATTCAGTGATAAACAATTGGACGTGCATAAGCCCCTTTACTGTTAAAAAAAGGAAAATGGAAAATGTTCATTCTCACATGTTTGGACTTATTGTTGACATAGTTACTTTTATGTGCTCTCTATAAGCTTAAAAATGAATGGTCTTTGTGCTTTTCTTTGAACATCTAGAAGTCAATTTGAAAGATTTCGGTATTACTGTTTCACCATTAAAATGCTGGAAAATACGAGGGTTCTTCAGAAAGTTTCCGCACTTTTTAAAACTCTATTTATTAAGAATTTTAAAAACAAATTACATCACTTTTCTACATAGTCAGCTTCCTTTGCAATGCATTTTCCCCAGCATCATACCAACTTTTTAATGCCATCATCAAAAAATATATAAAATATATTTATAAAATATAAAAGTGTGGAAACTTTTTGAAGACCCTTTGTATATTTATGGTCTATATTATTTACTTTGAAGAACACTGTACAAAAAACCAATTTCCAATTTCAATTACTCTTATACTAATAACAACTTTACAATATTATTAATCATAGTAACTCTTTGCTATTCAAATATAATATTTGTAAAGGACAGCCCCCCTTTTTATTTTATTTAAATATACTCTGTATTCCTACAGCATCTCCCCCCCCCCCGTTCTCCTTCTTGTAATCTATAGCCTAAACACAGAAATAAGCTTTGATCCTGATGAATGGCTGACAAAACACTACGTAAGGAAATGATGTCTACATGTGATTTTAAGTCACAATGACCCAATCAAGCATATGTTGTGGTTCCATATAAGCTTGTGCTATAAATCTATGAAGTAAATATTATACATTTCATTTCATTTAAGTTTGTCAGACGGTGTGCAAAGCAGCAGAAAAGTGTATGTTGTGTTTGAAGAAATTTGGAATTCGAAATCAGCAGAGGGTTCCCCACAGAAGCCAAGGCCCACCAAGTTCCTTGACACCCCTATAATATAGGGAAAATTATGCCAGCACTAGAACCTGTAATTGCCCCCCTATTAGAATCAACCGAAGAGAAACAGTTAAGGAAAAAAAAAAAACAAGTGGAAGGAAGGTTTCAAAATGTTCTTTTCTGTATTCTGCCTGCAGCCGTGCTCCCTCCAGCAGGTATCCCAGACACGCCAATGCAAGATAGACTTTGCTCTGCTTAAAAATGAGGAATGCAGAAGCCTTCTGTATCAGATATAAATTTATTCACTTTACAGTATTCCCCCTGTGGAATGTGCATACTCTTAGCCACTGGGGATTTTGTGTTTACTTTCCAACTTTCCATTCAAAAATTTTCAATTATTCAATTTCAAATGAAGATTTGGAATGGGCATCTTGAAATTAGATTGCTTATAATCTAGAGGAAAGCCTCAGATTCATACAGGCACAGTGTGGCGCATGTCTTCAGCTTGGCCAGTGGCCGGTAACTTTCTGGGAAACATTCCTTTGCTCACAGACCCACCGTCAGCTATCAGCACTGTCGCAGCTCTTCTACGGCAGAACTGACTTGGTACATTTCTGGCTGCATATCGCATTTACGCACACTTTAACGTGCAATTCTTACAAATGTAATAGAAGCTGACAGAAAGCATCATTAGAAGATGTGCGTTCATCACATTTCAGTTGGCCATTAAAAAAAAAAACCTAGAGAAAAGGGTATAAGGCAAGTAAGTATATACAAGAAAGAAAGGTGCTTTCACGGATTCTACCCTTGCTTTCACTTTCTGTTATAAAAATGAGGAAGGACGTTCTAGTGCTTTATTTCCAGTCTTATCTATAAGCAAGGGCAAGTATTTGAAGTAGTGACAGTCAAATAAAACATGTTTTATGGCTTTGCAATCTTCTCTGCAAAGCTGCACTATTTATTTCCTTTCATTTATTTCAGGCACGAGGTTGCAACCAATGCTGTCTTCACTGAAGAACGCATACACGAGAATTCCTTTATGCAAGTACAGTGGTACCTTGGCTCACGAACTTTAATCTGTTCCAGGACTCTGGTCATGACCCAAATTGGTTGTGAGCCAAGTTACCTTGACCCTTATGGGGAAATTTGAATAAGGTTAATCTGTTCTGCAACTATTTTTGTTACTCACAAAAATCTGAAGCAAAGTAACAAAGATCGCGGCCATCTACCCCTCCTCCAGCAACTGTGTAGGCGGGGTGGGGGGAGACAGGCGCGATTGCAGGCGCGCTGGGGAGGGAGGCAGTTGTGGCCATCTCCCCTCCAGCAAAACGGGCCATCTCCCCCCTCCCCCCGGGCAGCACGACCATGATCGCGCCTGTGCAGGGAAGGCGGGCGCACTCGCAATCGTCACCAGGTGCAGTTTGTGACCTGCAGCAAATTTTTTATGAAATTTCTGTTCGTGTCCCGATCTGGTTGTGAACTGAGGCATTCGTGATAAGCTGAGCAGTGGATGGGACACGCGATTTTCCTGCTCGTGAAACACCAATGCCGTTATCTCAATTTAGCATACAATGTAGATATTCACAGCCTGCAGATGGTTACCTAAGTGGGAATATGCATGCATGCACAAAGACCTGTCTACACCGATAGCATTTCTTCTAATGAAGGCACTTAAAGCATTCAGACCGATTAGGCTCTGAACTGTAAAAATATTCCAGTGTTCCACCCCTTCCCTTATACATGTGTTAGCTCAGTAAATGTCTCCTCATAACGCTGCCCCTCCAAAAACCTCAGGCCCACCTGCAGCTAGATGTTATGCAGCCTGTGGGTTGCAGAACCACTGCAGGTGTTGCCTACGGCTTGGACACTGTGTGGTTGTACACGGATTAGTTCCAATTCTAAGAACCAGAAGCTACACTTTGATCATGAAATGGAGCTTCTTCTGTACTTTCCAGACCCTCAAAAGAGTCTGACTATCGGGGCCCTGAGAAATTGTGTTTAAAATGGTATAGGAGGCTGCAGATGGAGGATTGAACCCAGGATGGTTGCAAGAAAAGAACGACATTTGTACTTATGTCAGTCCATTTTGGATCCAAGCCATTGAGCCTGTTTGTACGTTATGACAACCAACCATGGCTTAATTAACCCACAAGGACTGTGGCATCATGATGGCAGATAATCATTTCCTGGTAACATCTTATTAATCTTTTTAGAGATTATTTTCCCACTGCCTTGACCGAGCCCCATCAGCAGGGTCAGAGATCCCTTCAATAAGAGGTGAAGGTCATTTCCCCCCCTTATCCAGTTGTTGAAATTGTGTTACTGTACGAGTAGATCACTGTTCATTTGAGGTCCATCAGTACTTGGCCAAAAACCATGCTCTGATACAAGGTAATTATGTCTTGAATTCCTTTTGCTCCCCCTTCAGTGCTTGTGTCAACATTGCAAATGAAAAGATCATCAGGAAAACAGTCCATTCTTCACTGGGCTTAATTAGAGCATAATAATGGCCAAGTTGCT